CAAGAAGTAGTGCAGGCAGCGGACGAATCCACCAAGGCCAATACAGATGTTCATATTTTGGTAGCAATGAACTACAGCGGAAGATCTGATATATTACAGGCATGCAAGAGAATTGCTAGGAAAGTGAAAGATGAAGCCTTAGAGATAGAAGACATAGAGAATGAAGGCATGTTTGATGGAGAACTGGAAACCAGCTGCGCTGAGCTCCCAAACCCAGATTTGCTCATTCGGACTAGCGGTGAGCTTAGGATTAGCAACTTCATGCTCTGGCAATTGGTTTATACAGAGCTCTTCTTCGTCGACAAGAACTTTCCTGACTTTCAAGAAGATGATTTCCTTCAGGCTTTGCGTTCATTTCAGCAGAGACACAGACGTTTTGGTGGGCATAAATACTAACAGAGTAAATTTCAATTTTGGTCCTGTGATTTTTGGAGTTTTGTTAATTGCAATTCATGACTTTTAAAATTGTTAATTTGGTAACTTAACTATTCAATTTTTATTAATTTTGATCACTCCGATCAAATTGCCGACCAAATCTCACTGAAAAATTTAATTAGGCAATTAATCTTTAACATAAGGGGTAATTTCATCTTTGTAAGTTTGGTCAAAAAAGATATTTGACTCCATTCAATTTCCTCCTTCTCTAATCGGCAAATATGGCGTCGAATCAGTCGATGAGGACCGGAGAAATTGGCGAGAATACAGTGAGGTTGAGAGTGCGATAGAATGGAGATTAAAACCCTAATTATAAAAATAAAATAAATTTATATGCATTAAACAGGTTGATAATTATGTTTTTTTTTTTTTAATTGTGTTTTTGTTAATGATTTTCTCAAGCAAACTGACGGAGACTCAGTCTTGAGCTAGTATTCTCTCATTTCTAGCAATGGGTATTGCTCTCCCTTGATAGAGTCAACGTTGTTGCCGGTTTTCCACCATTCATGGCAGTATTAAGTGTGGAAGAAGGTCGGAGTTGCCGGTCATCCAGTGCCGGTGTAATATCCTTGTCGGATTTGGTGACGGAAAAACGCTCAAGTCAGATCAAGTCAGTGGGCTACTGTTTTCATTTGGGTTTTTCCCAGAATTTTGCTTACTGCTCGCCAGTGGACTTCATGGCCGGAAGGATGGAAGAAGACGCAAGGCCAAAGACGAAATTGCCCTTAAACTAAATATTAATTGCCTAATTAAATTTTTCCGGTAATATTTTGGTCTGCAATTTGACCGAAATAACCAAAATTGATAAAAATTAAATAGTTAAGTTACTAAATTAACAGTTTTAAAAGTCGTGGATTGCAATTATCAAAACCTCAATAGTCACAGGATCAAAATTGAAATTTACTCATACTAACATTATTCATTATTATCTATATATATATATAGTGTTAATTTCTTTCTAGTCTTATTACTATTGACTAGTTCTTTTACGATGAAATATTATATCGGAGATGTTCATACATAGATAAATAAATATTGAATTTGTTTATTTAAATTGGTAATTTAAAGTATATAAATGCAATATAATATATGAGAGATTGATTATATTGTCACTAAAATAAATATTTACAACTTTGTAATAACGCTAGTCTAAATACTTAGTCTAAAAACGATAGTCTAAATACATACTACTTTTTATTTAAATTTCTCTAATTCTTCTCAATTCTTTTGGATAGCATTGTCATTATCTTCATTTTCAGTACATGTCCTTTTTTTTTTTTAAATATAGGTAGTGTGTCATGAATACAATTGGGTTACCGGTGGTAGCATAGATGGATTCATCGTGCAATGAGATTATGGTGCAGGAAGCTTTAGATTTGCATTATATTATTGTGTATATGATGGAATCTTAGTTGTGCTATTAACTTTTTATCTTACAAGCACCTATTGATATTTGATAGTGGTACATAGTTTTTCCCCTACATGTTTTATGCATTGTGAGATGTGTGTCGTATGTTATCATGTGAAAGTATTGAACAAAATATTAATATTTATTATATTTGTATAAAATATTTGGTAATAAATATATATAACATATTTTGTATTATAACTTTGATATTTAATTACAAGATAATGTAAAAAGAAGACAATGGACAATGTAGTGAATAAAATAAATTAATAAATTTGAAGGTAATGAATTATTGAATTGTAGAAAATAAAGATAATATAACTAATGAAATTATATCTCTTTTTAATTTTTTTATATAATGAATAATTTTTTTTTAAAAAATAAAGGCATTATAGGCATCTAATTCTAAATTAATTAAATGCATATGTATTATTTTTTGTTGTAGCCACTAATTTATTTAGTTTAATAAGAGTAATAAAGTAGTGTACATACTTTTCACCAACAATAATGAAATCAATGATTTTTTTTTTTTAATTTACATTCGTTGTTGAAACAAATTGATTTGAGAGTTTGTCAATGACAATTGTTAAAATTCTTGTAAATAGAGAATGATAATAAGTAATTCAAAATATATAGTTACAATAGATATTGTTATAATGATAGTAAAAATTAACTTACAAATTTCTTTAGAAGTTTTCATGCATTGATAAAATTCTGATGTGTAAACTTGTTCAGTTAGAGCCAATGGGATGTCAACATTGTCAATTCTTTGGAAAATGGTCTTACCGTTTTAGATTCTAGGTGTAATTGTAGTTATGATCAACAACTTTGTACTTAGGTCGCGCAGATTTGACAATGATGTAAGAACAATTTTGTCCGATAAAAAAAATAATAGTATAATATTTGTAAAATAATGTACAATTGTACTATTATATAAAAAATATTAATACCATAACGTCCTAAATCATACCAATAGTGCAAAAGTATAATTGAAATATTAAGTTTTGTTCTGATCTAAATAATCAAAAGAAGATTAATTAAACAAAAAAAAAAAAAAAACTTAACCTAAATTTTTTTTTTAATGCATAAAAATCTAATGATTTTTAAAGTTCTTGATTTATAATCTTGGATGCTTAACTTTGAATGTTATGTATTTAGTCGGACTAATTATTTGACCAAAGTTTATGTTAAATTTTATATTATATATATATATATATATATATATATATATATATATATATATATATATATATATATATTAATACATTTTAAAATATTCGTAGTATATGTATAACAATTATGTTAACTCTAATTGGGATGAGGTTCGAACCTAAGACCTTTCTTATATAAATTAATGAGTATATGTAAGTTAAAAATAATAAATAGTTAACGGAATATTTCGTTACTAAAGTTTATACTAACGGAATTTAGGTTATTTAAGGGAAGAAAATAATATAATAGAGGGTAAATAAGAAAAATCATTAAAAAAATACTAAAATCAAAATAATATGAACCATTCATTTTAAGAAACAATAGAACCAATATTTTTTTTGTTCCAGTTAAGGGCCTAACATTATTGGCTCTTATTAAAATTGTATAGATAGATGTAGATGTTTGTTAAGATTTTTAAAACTGTCAATTTCCTACTTTAACTCTATTAAATGTTCACAATTTTATATACTAAATATTCACAATTTACGTAGTAAATGTTTGCAATTTAAATTATATGAACATTCAGTGTATAAATAATGTATTTTGACCTGAGTCCACCTTGTAAGGTGGATCTGGTCCATAGCATAACTGTTGCCTCATGGCCTAACAAATCACTTGATAGAAAATATATATTGGAAAAGACAAAAACAAAATCAAAACAAAACAGAGAGAGAATCATAGAAGCGACTAGCGATTAGCGACAAGTCTACGTGCTATTCTCTACTCAATTACTAATTTGCGTTGCGTATACAAATTGGCATGTGCTCTCTATATGTGGTTCTAAAATAATTAGAGAAACTTAGCTAACCTACTAATTTAGATATAAATAATATTCCATTCTTGTATGGATAATTTCTTAGGGGACTCTAAGGTTTTTGGTAGAGTCACTTTGACCCCTATTGTTTGAAAATTAATGTTTACACCCTCAAACATTGATTTAAAATTTATTCTTATTTTACCTCTTATCCTATATTATTATCCAATTACAAGTGTTCTTATAACTATCATCCCAGCTAGCTTTATGATACTAATTTTTTTTTTTCATATTAAATAATAAATTTTCTTTCTATTTATTTATTCTTTACTTTTATTTAGGGGCTTTTTTTTTTGAAAGTCAAAAAGTGATAGAGTATTGTAGGGACGTAGAGAAAATAGTAAATGAATTGTAAATTTAGTAATATAAAAGTAAGAATCATTTTTTAAAGTGGAAGAATATTGTATGGATTAGGGATGGCAATGAGTCAGGGGTGAGTTGGGAAGGACTACATACATCCATTACTCGAACCACATTATATTTTCTCTACCCCCAACCCCAACCCGTATCGGGTGTATTTTTTCAAAATCCACCCCACCTCATGTACCTACCACTTATCATCTTATTGAGTTTTTCAAAAATAATATTTAAATTACTTACACATAATAAAATAATAAAATTCATTAGTTATACTAAAATATCAATAATAGAAATATTCAAATATAATAACTAAATTGTTAATTTTTAAAAATAAATATTGTAGTTTAGATATAAAAATAGTAAAAAGTTATCCATATATAGTGAGTCGGGTAGGGTTCTAGGCGGATTTTGTACATAGAACCCGAATCAAACTTAACTCACCGCAAGTTTACTTTTTTAAGACCCACTCTTAACCTACCATCCACTATCACCCAAAAATATTTGATCTATATGGGATAGATATTCACATGGCGAATTGAAATTGTCATCCTGAAAAAAGATAGCTATATTTTGGCATGGAGAGGATTTGTTTATTAGAAAAAAAAAAAAAAAAAAAAAAAAAGGGAGGGGACATAGGTTAAATTCTGAAACCAATAGGGTTCAAGTATCAATATCTGAAAAGTCAATTCAAGGAGTTTATGTGAAATTCTATATTATTTCTTTCCAATCATTGAAGGAGGCTAAAATGGTAGGGTATATAATAACCCTGTG